GCTGAACCTGGACAGAAAAAAAGGAACCTAAGGAAGTGTAAACCCAATCCCAAGCCTACTCTCCATCATGTGGGCAGAAACCAGTTCAGGAACAATGCAGGGAACTTCCGTTCTGACCCAACCAACCTTCTGCTACTGCTCAGCCTCACAGGGGAATGGCTGGACTCTCCCTATTCTCTTTACTGCTATGCCCCACTTATTTCACAGGGTGGAAATGCACCTGTGTGTACTCTTCAAACCGTTCTCTTCTCCTGAAGCCACCAAAGCATTCCTCTGCTTGTTCAGCATCTTACACCACTATCACATGCCACCACAGTCATTACAAAATCCCCCAAGAGGTACCTGCCCATGTATCTCAGCTCCCTGTCTCTAGCTATTACCTCTGAAGGTCCAACCATATATGTCTCTTTGTAAAACACCTGTTAATTTGTAAGTCTCACAGATTTGAGAAAATTATCTTATTGCTAAAGCCAGTGTCAAAATACCACACAGGCTCACTATATCTGCAGAAATTCTACGAGCTTTAGGTTTTGCCCATCACCAAGACGAAGAGAGAAATCTTGGCCCCACTGAGTGACAGAAGAGACAGAAAATCACCTTGAGCATGGTTAGTCCAAGATTTTTATCTTTCCTTGCAAGTCCAGGGCCAGCAGAGCAGCACAGTCTGTCACAGCCTTCCCAGAGAGGCTGTGTGCAAGAGCAGGACTCGCTGGCACCCACAGTCTACAGGGTGAAGTCAGCCTGACACTGACATTATACAGTCTTAGCAACATCCAAGTGTCTCATCTCAGAACTGGATGTGTCTAATGAAAAAGAAAAATGGTTCCCAGGATAGTAGGTTTGTTTTCGCTCCTTAAAAAAGACAACCAACCAAACAAATCCCCCTTGTTTTTCAAGTCTGCTTATTTGAGATCTATGCCCTCCTGTCCTGCCTGTTCCTTCCTTCCCCACTGGATACCAAAGCCTTTTCTCCAGACATACAATACATTTGGTCTATAAAGAGAGCATTCTCCATGTACAGCTGCGTTGGAGTAACTCTCAGAGGCTCTGAAGCGCAGCCAACATGCAGAAATATAAAACCCGAGAGGACTGAGTCTTGTTTCACCTGAGATGGGTTTATCTTACAGCACTCTTCTCCAAGGGAGCTGACCGTTTCCACTCAGACATAAGAAGCAGGCATTTTTGACAAGATTTTGTTGGACTCAAAGCTAACCAGAAGCTCTTGATTTTGTGGGGTTTTTAAAACTCTGTTTTGTTGAGAAAAAAAAACTGATGCCCTGTATTTCTGCAATACCCATACATCAGAAATTAAAGTTGTATTTTCTCTCAGGTCTAAAAGAGGAAAAATTGTGGATTAAAATGCAACATGAAACAAATGATAAAGCATTTATGTGCTGTTGGTAGGTACTGAGCTATGATGGTTAGAAGCGCTGAATAAAACACCGGAACAGAGCAGAACAGAAGATCACGCTGAAGGTGTGAACTCCCCAGTGCTACAGCCATCTGAGTGGAGACTCACACCCCTGGCAGCAGGATGAAAGCAAGGGAGCTGTGCCAGACTCCCTGCAACCCACCACAATTTCATGTAATTTGAAATTCCCACAATGAAGAATTCACAGAGTATTTCCAAAGCAAGTTATGGAGGCAACCTAGAAATTCCAGGGCAGCATACAAGGGGACTGTATCTCACAAGATTATTCCAAAACTCGAACTAATATGGAAGGCAGTGTGCTTGTCTGGCATTTGGGAAATACACCAAAACTATGTTCTGCTGCCTTTCTTCATGGACAGCTGACTTTGAGATGGGATCAGAAGCATTAGCCACATCTAAAAGAACCTAAAACTGATCAGACTGCCACAGCAGTAATCAGCCACGGTGCTCCTCCAACGGCTGGTGTAGCAGAGAGTGAATGAGATTTGAAATGCCCTTTCTTTTCCTGAACTCTCAGAAGACTTGAAATTTGTGTTAGCTGTAAGGCTTGGACTAAAAAGACAGAGAAGCGCTATACTAACTCACCCTAGTAGAGAATTACAATGTGTATCCTAAAAACTGATACTTCATAGCACAGTTTCTTTCTCCTTTTTGGTTTATATCAATATCTGTGCCTAAATCAAAATATTGAAAAATGAAGAACAGGGAAGGGAAAGGACATCAAGCATGCAATAGAGCAGTGGATGCTACCTACATACAGAAAAAAAAAGTTTTCTTTTTTATTAAAATCACCAACATTTCTTTACTGTTGTTTCTGGAGTCACTGTGATCTAAGAAAATTGAGTCTATTGACTGTTTCCAAATTGTGTGTTCATCTGAGTAACTGGAAATAAAGCCAGTATTTGAAGCAGTATCTATTCGTTGTTAATTACTGCAATAGCCCCTTTTCCAGCACACACAGTGGAGGTATCCTTATAATTCAGTAATCTATACAATGTTCTCTCTCCTCCTTCTAACTTAGTTCAGTGCATGATATGCAAGTTTACTCTCACATAGGACAGCTGGTCTACATTCAGACAGAAGAAAACCGTGCATGTGAACTATGTGACTAAAGACTGCTGGAAGCATAAAGAATAACCATAGCAGCTTGGAGCAAAGCAGAGAAAATGGGATATAGAAACACCTGATTTGCTGCCTACAACAAGCCTTTATTAGGCTTCTTTAAGCTTAAAATGCTGCTGATTGCTGCAGCCAGCACATATGTGAAGGAAAAGGAAACTCTCTTCTCCTTCCATGAGCCTCACTAACTGTCCTTTACAGTGGAAATATGTTTTTCTTCATTTTTATGGTGATTAGCTTGTTCAGGGAATTAAAAGACTGAGTCCATCATCTATCAGCTTATATAACTTTGTACTAATGGTTTTTAAAATGACACAGCCACAGCACTTGTTCTGTTCTCTCCTGTGAGATGATCCACACACATCATACACAGCTGCTCCTGCATTGACTTTCTCAGGTAAATCCCATTAATACAATGCAGAGCAGTCCCTCAGACATTGTCTAACCAACAGCCTCAGTAAACTCATCTAGGTTCAGGCTTCGTGCCATTTGTCTCTTGTCCTTTGCACTCCTACTTCTTTGTAATAATTGTCTCTTCATGTTCCCTTCATGCACCCATCAGAAGCTCCACCCTGAATCATACTCCTGTTGATACTACTGGCTGCCTCCAGCCTGGGACCATAATGATTTTTTTCCGTTGTTGTATTGTCAGGGCATTTTTTTTAAGGGCTTCATTCAGATAAACAAAACATACTCTGCTTTCACTGCCTGGCTTTGATGTGACAAACCTTGAGCTCTCTCCACGTGCTGAGCCAAAGTGACTGGAGCATGCAAGACTGATTTTTGCCATTTTCTACTCTTGGTTTCACAGGCAGAAGAATATATTGCAACTGGTCCATGGAACAAACTAACCCAGTTTTGTTTCTTTTCAGATCCGCACTGACCTCTTCAGATTAAACATGATGTCTCATCCTAAGTGGCTCACTCCTGGAGCTAGCTAAATTCCAACGGTCTTCTTTAAAGCCTGCAATCTAAACAATACATTTTATTGTCACAGCTACGTGGACACTAATTAAAACAACTTTACATTCTGAAAACAGCTAACATGATGTTGCTGGTTTATGTGGTTTTGGCAAGAACACTGCACTTTTTCTCTTTAAGCGCTGCCACCTCTTGCTCCCAAACACGGCTGCAGCACTAACAATTAGCAGGTCAGGCCGGTATCGCTGCTGAAGAGTTTACAGAAAGCCATTGCTAGGCACTGGCAGGGAAACAGATTCCTAATAAGGCAGCCAAAGCTACACTGTGCAACGGGACAATACCCAGACATCACATCAGGCCGTGCCCATGAAGTATCTACAGAATCCTCTACGAAAGCACAGCTCAGTTCTGGGAAAGCTCTTGACGTTATTTCACGCTCCTCCTGCCTGTGGACTCCCCTTTATATTTGACTCCCTGAAGCCTCTAAATGCAAACATTCACACTGTGGGCTGGTTCCTCCAGAACAACCCAAGCTACCGACACACAGTGAGAGGACAAGTTATTGCCACAACCAAGCATACAAGGACCAAGGAGAACATAAGCCTTCCTCCCTCAATAGAGGCAGCAAGGAACAAAGGAAGGTCATCACCGATTCCCATCGTTCCCAGTACCTCTGCCCAATTTGGGTCTCAGTGCCAAGCTTTCTCAGAAGTCCAGCACCCTTAACAAGAAGAAAAATTAATCTTTCTCCAGCTCCTTTCTTATAAATACTATATTTTGCTACAGTGCTTTTAACGATCTGCAATAATTTTCTGTGCTTCTAAGCCAGGATCTCAAAGCACCTGAAAAACCATGACTTTCCTGCATCTTTTGCAGCAAGTTAAAGGAAAAACAGAGGCACAGAGAAATTACATGACTTCAAATCCAGTTCTGTGCTCAAAAATCTAGACCCTGACTCTGTCCACGATAAACAAAGCAAACAGCTGGTGGAAGAACAGCGCATCATTCTGAAAGACTGCACTATTAAAACACCATCCAATTGACACCTTCTTTAATTGACCTTTAAATAAAGTACACGCAGACAATCAAAATAGCTTGTCAGTGATGCACTGAGAGTCTCTCCCTGTCTACAAAACCAGACTCAGTCAGTTCTCTCTGTATCATTTGCAATTTCCTGTTACCTTGAAGAGTTAAATGCTCAAAAAAAATTTAAAACAAAACAAAAATATATTACACAGCACAAGACGGTTCCCACTCTTCTTTAACCAGTAAAAAAAGCTAGAGCAGAAGATAAGATTTCTGGCATGTTGGGGAGTAAAATTAAGACTGCATGCCACATATCAGTGGTTAGATATTCCCTGTTATTTTTCAGATATTCAGGCAAATGATCTTCACATGCACAGGTAGGTTGGTACATACTTAGTGATTCTTGGATGTGCCATAATTGTGATAACCAAGTTAGATAAGTTACCGTGAAAAGCCTTTGCAAAATTTATAACTTACATTTCTATCATTAAAGAAGACTTACCTTTAAGGACTCCCAGAGGGGAAACTGTACCAGAGAGAAAGGAATCTAGAAAGGTGGGGAAAGAGAAAAAAACCAACAACATAATGTTACAAAAGCAAATTAGGTTGGCATGTTCCTTGACTGGCTAAATTAGGAACAGTTATTGTTCACTTAGTGAACTGCAGCTTATTACATTTACAAATCTTTAAGGACACTTTATGTACGCTGCCATTAAATGACTCGTTTCACTAAAGCAGTTTTACTTTGTTTATCACACTCCCTGCTGAGAGGTTAATGTATTGTTACCAGGGTGGCCCAGAAGAGCACTAAGCAGTATGATCTAGTGCAGGGACACTCTTGGTTTGATGCTCAGCCAAGAAAACCATAAGGATGGTTCAAGAAACGTGCTCCCAAGGCCAGGAATACAGCTTGGCAAAAAAACATCTTCAGTAATACACACTCTCACAAATGCTGAGCTGAAAACAGTTGTGCTCCAACCAAGGCTTTGCAGTTTGGGCATCAGCTGCAGAAACTTTCCTGAACATCTCCCAGTGATCTCACATTAACAAACTCTCTTGAGAATTAAAAGTAGGTTGTGAAGAGCTACCACAACCCAACTAAAACCCAAGGGAGAAGTTTGGTGGTTCTCTTGTCATCACCTATAATGAGAGGTTCTTCTGTCCAACAACAGCCTGGATCTCTACCTAGGTTCGTTCCTGCTGCCATGTGTCCCCAGCAGTGCTTGTGCATTTCCAGCACCTTTACAGAATTCTCTTAACCCAGGGGATAAAAGCAAACATACATCTCCTTGAGCTCTGTAGCCTGTGCAGGGCCAACACATGGAGTAAGTCAGTTTTCACCACAAAGAGAATGATTCCTTGCAACAAGAGACGTTGCTTTGCAAGGTTTTGCTTTTCCTTACTGTTTCTCCTCCTCCAATCTCTCCACTAAGTCCTCCATGCACTGCCTCCTCCTTCACCACTCTGACAAGCCCTGTCCAATATTCACCTCTTGCACTGACCCTGCCCTTGCTATCTGTAGCCTGAGTATCTATCTCAAGACATCCTGGAGAAAGGAGTCCCTATGAAAATACCAGTCTGTCCTAGAATTGCCCTACAGCTGTATCTGCAGGTCTGCTTTGCCCCTTCCTAAATGCTTCTGCAATTATCTCCTCCACTTTGACAGCCCATGAGCCCCAATTTCAAATCATCTTCCAAGTATCTATTTTCTCCTGCTCTACCTCACTTCCCCAAACACGATGCATGTTGGCTTAGTTTTCCTCCTTATTTAGGCTGATTTTGCAGTTCATGCATCATTTTATTAATCTCAGAAAGCACTTATACACTTTTTGCCATGAAAAGTGGGCCACTCAAAATGGGCCACGCTTACGTAATACATAAATCTTTGTTCTTTGTAACATCAGCAATGTCAAGTTACAAATATTCACTACAGAGGTATGAACAGTTTATCAAACCCAAATTCAAGCTACACAAAGGAACCTGAAACGGTACATCATTCAACATCACAAGAGTTAAAGAGCACTGTCTGCTTCCCTGTGTTGCAACTAATGATTAATAAATGAGTCTATTAAGTTAATCTGCCAGGCAAAACTAAGCTTGACAGACACCTGCCACAGAAAATTTGTTATCTATTCAGGCAGGAAATGGCAGTGAGAAGAAATCAATGTCACTGCTGTACATCGAGCTGACAAACCGAAATCTCAGAGGAAGTTTGTCATCTTGAACAATGAGCAATATCCCTGGTGGCATCTCAGAGCCCCACAATAAAGGTCAGACATGGCTCTTATTTATCAGGGCCTTGAAACTGAGTGCAGCAATTAAATTTTGTTTTTAATACTGGGTGAAAAAGTCCAGCTATTTGACAGTAATGTGTGGTAATATATTTATGAGAAGATAGATATATATATATCCACATCCTGCTGCATCTTTGTTGAATTGGAGTTAAATGGCATGATTTCTTTAGAATGTAAAATGAAAAGCAACATAATCTTCTATTCTAGGCCAAAAAAATAGCGGGGGGGGGGGGGGGAAAAAAAATACATTTGCTTCAAACTTGTTAAGAGAAAGAAAAGAAAACGCTCTGTATCCAGCTGTACCCCAAACAAAACAAGCTTTCAAACAGTCTCCAAGTTTTACTTTTCTCATATGCACAAATGAGTAGTAAAATTACACAGCTGTTATTAAGACAACAAGTGAAGCTTTTGACATAAACCCCCTTTTTATCTCCTAGCTAGAAGCATTTCAATCAAAGAGGAAATTTGTTCACAACTGCTGTTTGATTTTCAGTGTTGGAGTCTTTGCTTTCTGTGTCCCGCTCAACGGGGACCAGAACTGGATGGGCATCATAGGTTTCCCTTTTCCCTGTGCACCCCACGAGATGCTGCGATGCGCAGGCTTCCCAAGCACCTGGGACGATTTCAGATGGGCATCAGTGGGATCTGCACAGCTGCTGGGCTCCCTCCTCTCTAAGATGCCTGCACGATAAGGGCCTAAAAATTTATAAGTCACACTTGGAGTTCGAAAACTTGCAAAACACAAACAAATGAGGAAGTGCCACCAACAAAAGCAAGCAGAGCAGCACCTTCGCCTGCACCAAGAAGATCCTAACAAGAGACGCCCTCCATTTCTTATGGTCATCCATTGGCGCCTGTTTGACGACATCCTGACTTAGAAACAAAACTCACACAAGCGATCTCATGGGTACTGGAATGAAAAGGAGCCTGGCTTCCTGTGGATTTGGTTTTTGTCATCAGATTCTCTGAAGCCAAATAATTTCCAAGCTGGGTTCGGCAATCTTCCCGTGACCAGGACCCTCCATCACATTTCCTCGTGATGTCTATTCCACAGACCCTGTTGAAAGTTCAGTTCCTATTGCAAGCCCTCACTCAAACCCCTTAATCGTCTTTATTCTCCACTCATATACATATTTTCAAGAAAGTTATAGGAATTTCTATGTATCTTTTCAGCCTCTGCCTTTCTGTCACATTTCTGTGGCCAACATGTCCAAGGGCTGCACAGGCTGCTGTGTGGTGGTGTGTGCATACACCCTGTTTGCATAAATCTCGTTTCCCTAAGAGACCAGACTAAACAGCCCACACCCAAAAGAAGGATTAATATATGCAAAAAGAAATATCTCTGCGAGGCTAAATAATCCAACAATGAAAAAGCCTTTAGATGGCTTATAGCCCTTTATTCCTGTACCATGACAGACGTGACAAAATCTCACAGTCTGGGGACAATTCCCAATTTCAACATTTACAGCATTTAATTCCTTTTCATATTTTGCTTTTTAAAATAAAAGCTCTTCAGCAATGAACAGAATCACACCCTGCCAGGCAGCGATATTTATGCCTGAAATAGGCTAAGGCAACAATAAAAATGTGGTCCACACATGTGGGTAACTTTCTGCCAGCAAATATGAAACCCTGGCGAGCTCCAACAACCTCTCATTCGACATTAATATAAAATAGACAGAGAGTACCAGTTCTCGTGTCTGGCCTAATGTTATATAACTGTGCTGTTTGTTCAACAGAGTCAACTCTCTCACACACACAAAAAAAAGTTTAAAGCCTGCAGACAGCTGTAAATCATTATTCTAAAATGTTTTATAGGTTAGTGAAATTATCATTTACTCTGGTCACTGTAGCCCTTAGCACCTGATGCCTAACATAATGTAATGAATGTTGCAGATTCTCATTTCTACAGCTCTACTTAATTCCCCTGATACAGAAGAATTTTAAAAGATTATTTTTAATAAGTTACTTCTAGAAATAGTTGCACTTCAGAGCCAGAGCAACAGATACATACATCTACACTTCTAAAACAAAATACCAACCTGCAAGTACTGAAGACTGATGACAGAGCAAAAGTCCTCACACCAAATACTGTTTAATTAAATAAAAGAGATTTAAGGAGGAGCTTAATAATACTCTCTGTAACTACAGCAGAGCATTTTAAAGTAACTCAAAAAATAATCCATTCAATATCTGATGCTAAATTGCAAACTGACATTGTCTCAAAGGAAACATAGCAGCCAGGGAGAAAGGAGAGCATGATGAAGGAATGGCAAAGAAGGGGGGAAAGAAGCAGAAGAGGGGAAAAAAAAAAACAAAAAACCACACCAGCCCCTTCAGAACTGGGATTCCCTTCCAAATATGAGAATTCTTTCACACAAAGAGGAAACAGATGTCCATGGCTGGAATTTGCATGTGGCTTTATTCTCTTCTAGGATACAATAAAACTACTCTTCTTCTCATCCTCCAAGCTAGAAATTAAACAGTGGCATGTCATGCAGAGTCCAGCTGTGCTTTCTACCTCCAACCTTTGCTAGCAATATATTTAAAAAGAAGAAGAAAACAGAGAGACAGAAAGAAAGAGAGAAACTGGAAAAGCATAAGAAATTAAAAACTATGTGGTATGTGTTCTCAAAACAATATAAAACCTACAGATGTTCTTACTAATCTATGGCACATGTTTGTTTATTCAGGTTTTCTCTGTCTCCAGTTC